GCTCCCCGCGGAGCAAGGAGCCCGATGTGGGACTCGATCCCAGGACCCTGGGATCATGACCTGAGCCGAAGGCAGACGCTTAACTGACTGAGCCACCCAGGCGCCCCTTGATACACATTTCTGCCTCACCCTGAAGCTGTTTCGTTTATTTTCCTACTTTGCCAAGATGGCTGACAGCTCCTGGAGGTCAGGGCCACAGCCTGATGCTCAGTCCTGATCACTGACTCCCCAGCCTCCTAACTGATGTCCGTGACAGACTCCAGTCACCCCTGCACACCCTCTAATCATTGTCCCTCAAGGCTACTACTCGGATTCCCCACCCCCAACACGGTTCTGTACACTGACCTCCACAGGCTTTCCAAATACTGTCCAGATTTCCAGCGTCTTTCACAGTTTCATCATCACTGACCCCCACGCTGATCCCACCCTGAACCCCCGGCTTGGTTCCCCAAGGCTGACCAACCCTGAGGCCCAGACCCTGGCAAGGAGTCTGTCTGTGACCCTGCACCACCCCCCGCCGCCATCGCGGGAGTAAGTGCTGGTGGGGCAGGTGTGCATGGGCAAGCCTATTGGAAGAGGCCATTAGCTGGGGTCAGTGAGTGTGGAGGGGACCACAGTGGTGGGATGACTGGGAATGACCACATGACCCTGGATCAGTCACTGTCCTCACTGAGCCTCAGGTTCCCACTTTGCACAGTGGGGATTTTTTTGGTTTTTTCTTTTTTGTGTGTGGTTTAGGTTTTATTTCTTCATCATCAACTGAACTCTGCCATCCAGCTAGACCTGGGGAGAAGGAACCATGGAGCCCGCAGAACTGCAGCGAGAGCACAGAGATTCTGGGGTATTTCGAGCAGGTGCGGGTGGAGGGGTGCTCTCCCGAGCTACACAAGGAATGGTCTGGTAGTTAAGATAAAACACGAGTCGGATTTCCTAGATCTGTCCACAGTCAGCAATGGTGATCTTCTTGCTGGTCTTGCCATTCCTGGACCCAAAGTGCTCCACGGCCTCCACGATGTTCCTGCCCTCTTTGACCTTGCCGAAGACCACGTGCTTGCCATCCAACCAGTCAGTCTTGGCAGTGCAGATGAAGAACTGGGAACCGTTCGTGTTGGGTCCAGCGTTGGCCATGGACAGGATGCCAGGACCCGTGTGCTTCAGGATGAAATTCTCATCATCAAACTTCTCCCCATAGATGGACTTGCCTCCAGTGCCATTATGGCGTGTGAAGTCCCCCCCCTCCGGCACATAAATCCCGGAATAATCCTGTGAAAGCAGGAACCTTTATAACCAAATCCTTTCTCCCCAGTGCTCAGGGCACGGAAGTTCTCTGCTGTCTTTGGAACTTTGTCCGCAAATAGCTCGAAGGAGACGCGGCCCAAGGGCTCGCCGTCCACCGGGATATCGAAGAACACGGTGGGATTGACCATGGCTGGGCGCCAAAGGCGGCTCCGGGTCGGTGGCGTCTCCAAGGCGCCACAGTGGGGATTTTGACCTCACAGAGGTGTTGGGGGGTGAGGGAGTGGTGGAGAGAACTGGGTGGGAGGAAGGCTGTCAGATCCCCCCCGCTCCAGGCTCTGACCTGGTTGCTTTCCAGGTCCCCAGTGTGAACTGACTTCTGGGGGAGGGAATCCATCTGCTGACCGTCAGTCCAGCTCCATCTGTACTCACTCTGGAGTGAATGATGACAACGACCACCCGTGTAGTGCACCCAACAGGCGACACTGGATCCTGACTCCACCGCCCACACGGACTCAGTGCAGGGGGCGCCCGCAGGCTCCTACAGGGGGCAATGGAGCTGGGTTTGGAGGGTTAAAAGCCATCCCTTGCCCAGTGGGCTTCATTCCTAGCTGCACATTCGGCTCATCTGAGGAACTTAAGAAATACCCAGATGTCCGAGGACACCCCAGGCCGATAGAGTCAGAAACTGTGGAGATGGGGCCAGAACCCAGGCCCTTCCGACCGCCACCCAGGCGATTCCAGTGTGTAGCTGGGGTTCGGGGGCACCGAGCTGGGTGGGACCGAAGGTATCCAGAGCAGGGAGGATGCCTTCTCAGCACGGAAAGCGTCAGACGTGGAGGCTGCTCACCCTCCCGCGGACGGCCCGCCTGTCCTCAGGAGGTCCTCTAGCCCCGGCCACAGCTCAGCCTGGGGTTGTGCAGCGCCTTCCACATGAGCAACATCTCGTAGGGCGCGAAGCGGTGCACGACCAGCAGCTCGTGGTACAGGCAGGGGTCGAAGGAGGACTTGGGGGCGCCGGGCAGCTGCAGGCCGAAGGGCCGGATGCCCTGGTGGCTGCTGGGCGCCAGGCCGGCGCGCTTCAGACACATGCCCATGTAGGCGTCATCGATGGGGAAGAGCGGGGTGCGGCGGGCGGCCACGCGCAGGGCCCTGGCCGTGTGGCGGGACAGGAGGAAGCCGCCGCCGCTGCAGTACACCGGGTAGGCCTCCCCGGGGAAGAGCTGCGGGGGCACAAAGTACTTGCTCCAACTGTCGCGGATGGGCACCGAGCCGTCCATGAGCTGCCCGGCGAAGAGGTGGCGCTCGGGCCGCTGCGTGCCCAGGAAGTGGAGCACGTTGGCGGTGTGCACGAAGACGTCGTCGTCACAGCTGAGCAGGAAGGACGCGTGCGGGCAGCGCTTGGCCAGCCAGTCGAGCAGGTGCAGGTGCTTGAGCGTGAGGTTGAGGAAGGTGTCGGTGAAGGCCCACTGCAGCACGTCGCCGTGCTCGCGCGCCTCCAGCGCCACCAGCGCCGCCAGCCGGCTTGCGCTCTCGGCGTCGTCGCGCGCGGGGGAGCCCAGCAGGGAGAGGCGGCGCACCTGCCGCCCGCCGTAGCTGCGCTCCTGCCCCCAGGTGCGGCGGATGAGCTCGCGCCGTTCGTAGTTGGCAGGCGACGACTTGACCGCCAGCAGCAGGGAGACCCCTCGGCGGCCCGCGCACTTGGCTGGCGCGTCCCAGAGCAGGGGAAAGTGGCGACAGTGGCGGTACCGCAGGAAGTCCTGGATGCGTGCGGGCAGCTGCTCGAAGCCGACCGTGGCGTTGACCGAGTCGTTGGCCACACACGGGGACCCTGAACTGAACGCCGACGGCTGCACGGCCGCAGGGGCAGCAGGGGCAGCCTCCGTAGAGCCATCCCACATCTTCTCCCGCTGGGACCTGGAGGCTTGGAGGAACCAGAGGTGCAGGGCCAAGAAACTCACACCCACCAGAAGGAGGGTCAGAGTCTTGGGATTCAGGGACCTGCGGCAGGGAAAAGCCATCTGTGGGGGAAACCGAGTCAGAGGTGAACCAGGAGTCATGTTTGACATCAGTGGAAGGGCACTCTGACCCCGTCACGAACTAGGCCTTTCTCAGCTTTGCTGCTACAAGGTCAAAGGAAACCACAATTCAAGATTACACGGAAGCATCTCGCGTTTCCCACGGTCTGGAGTGCTCTGACCCTCAGAATCTCATTGTCTCTCCGCATGTCCCCAAGCCACCTCGGCGGAGCAGACTCACTCAAAGTCAAAATCTTCATCTTCAATTCTTATCCTGCTTTTCCACCTCAGTGAATGGCACCACCATCCACCCAGTTGCTCCAACCAGAAGCCCGGACTCTCTCCACACTCCACTTACATCCACGCTCCATATCCTGGAGTTCCTGCATCCCAGTCTCTCTGTGCTTATTCCCTCCTCTCCATCCCTGTCAGCCCTGACTCTCTCTGATCCATTTCCCCCCTTACCCCCTAGTCAAGGAAGCATGAGGTGATAGCATTGGACTCAGACCCAGGTCGGATTCTGGTGTCCCTACTTACTCGTATCCTCTTGAGCAAGTCACTTCCGATCCCTAGGGCTGAGTGTTGTCTACAAGAAAGGGCTACTAGAGGAGCGCCTGGGTGGCTCAGTCGTTAAGCGTCTGCCTTCAGCTCAGGTCATGATCCCAGGGTCCTGGGATTGAGCCCCACATCGGGCTCCCTGCTCCGCGGGAAGCCTGCTTCTCCCTCTCCCACTCCCCCTGCTTGTGTTCCCTCTCTCGCTGTCAAATAAATAAATCAATCAAATCTTTAAAAAAAAGAAAAGAAAGGGCTAGTAGATTCCTACTTTAGTGCTCCCAACAAGGGTTGTTGGGAGCATTAAATGAGCATAAAGTAGCCAATCATCGAGTGGCACTGATATTATGACCTCTTCCACTTCCTCTGGCCCCACTTCTTTTTCTTCCTGCCCGGCATTATTTTCTTCCCCAAACATGCCAAGTCGGGTCTTCTTTGCTGTGTATCTAACTCCCCGCACCTGCCCAGCTGCACCTCAAGCCCTGCTTTCATGAAGAAAGACAAACTCCAGATCACAATAGCCTTTCCTGTATTGACTCCCTGTGAATCCCATTACACTGGGTTCTGTCCTTAAAACACACTCTGCTCTGTTTCAGAGATGCTGCTCTCTCCTGCCTCTCCTCCTCCCTCTTTAACCATGTCTCTCAATTCCCTTTGCTCATTTCCTCCTCTTTCCACCTTTAATAGTGAGAGGTGCCCAACCTCTGTCCTAGATATCTCCATTGCCTGAGGACCTCCGAGCGCCCGTGCCATATGTCCATCCAGCCACCTATTACCGAGCAGCTCCACATGGTGGCCCACAGCCACTCCGGGTGCAACCTCTCATCTCCATCCCGAGTTGTCCCAGAGTGCCACCACCCACTGTGGTTTTTGTTCAAGCCCCAAACCGTGATTGACTCCCTCCTTGTCTTCATCCCCCCAGCCAAGCCCAGTTGATTTTAATCCCTAAATGTTTCATCAGCCTGTCCACTTCCATTCCCGCTATCAACAGGCTAATCCAAACTAGCATGGGCTGCTCAGATGACATGGCCTCCCGCTTGGTCTCTCCACATACTTCCATGCTCTCAGTAGATCCCTCCTCCACAGTAGCTGGATTACCTGTGAACCGTGCAGATTCATGCCACACCTCATGCACTTTTCCTCAGCTTCCTACTGTCAGCCACCTGCCATGGCCACCAGCCTTAGCCTGAGAAAGCTCTTTCGGCCTTGGAGCTCCCCTGCCTGGATGGACCCCCCTCTCCCTCCTTTGCCTCCTTAATGCCTGCTCAGCCTCCTCAGCCTCTAGGTCCATTGAATAGGTATGTCCTTGGCTAGGCTTTAGTGTAGCTCAAAGGAGACCAGATCATTATTTGTTTTAAAGTGTATCTTCTTTCCTAGTCTGTAAGCATCTTGAGGGCAGGGATGGTATCTGTGATGTTCACCACCAATGTCCTGCACAGGGCGAGGTCAGACAACATGGTGATGGAAAATGCTGGTTGCCCAGGTTCAAATGCTGCCTCTACTAGTTTCTAATTGCATGTTCTGAGCAAGTTGATTTAAGCTGTCTAACATTTGCCTCCGAAGAGTTACTGTGAAGAGTAAATGATAATGTGTGTATAGAATTTCGCATGGTACTCAGCACATAATAGGTGTTCAGTAAATGTTACCTGTTATGATTATCAGAGATGTCAATAAATCTTTGTTGAATGAGGGGCGCCTGGGTGGCTCAGTCGTTAAGTGTCTGCTTCTGACTCAAGTCATGATCCCAGGGTCCTGGGATCCAGCCCCACATTGGGCTCCCTGCTCAGAAGGGAGTTTGCTTCTCCCTCTCCCTCTGCCACTCCCCCTGCTTGTGTGTTCTCTCTCTGTCGAATGGATAAATAAAATCTTAAAATAATAATAATAATGGCAGTGCCAATAACTACCCAGAAAAGTGAGAGATGCTTGCAAAAGTGTTGGTGCAATCACTGAGTCCCATTAGAAATACTAGAGGTAGGCTCCTGTAGCTCTCACTGTATTCTTGCTTTAGCGTTTGATGCACTGAGACAGGAGGGACAGCGAGATGGTCTAAATCTACTTAATCATCGCTCTAGGCTCAGTGGCTTGTCCTGTGCCTAGCACATTTGTGGCAGGCAACATTTTTTTTTCTGTGAGTGAAAGATTTAAAAAATGAATAAGAATAGAATTTGGAGTCTGAATAACTGGGCCTGAGTCTCAACTGCTTTCATTAGCTGTGCGACTTTGTGTCAAGTCCTGAATCTGCATTTGAGTTTCAACTGAGAAATCGAGAAGGTTAACACTCATCCCTCAGTGCAATCAGGAGGCATTCTCTATCTTCTCTCTGCCCAGAATCATTTTTTTTTTTTAGATTTTTTTATTTATTTGCGAGAGAGAATGAGAGACAGAGAGCATGAGAGGGAGGAGGGTCAGAGGGAGAAGCAGACTCCCTGCTGAGCAGGGAGCCCGATGTGGGACTCGATCCTGGGACTCCAGGATCATGACCTGAGCCGAAGGCAGTTGCTTAACCAACTGAGCCACCCAGGCGCCCTGCCCAGAATCATTTTTAGAAAGAAAAATCATTTCAGTCTTTTTTTATTTGACAGAGAGAGACAGAGGGAGGGAACACAAGTAGGGGGGAGTGGGAGAGGGAGAAGCGGGCTTCCCGCGGAGCAGGGAGCCCGATGCAGGGCTCGATCCCAGGACCCTGAGATCATGACCTGAGCCGAAGGCAGACGCCTAACGACTGAGCCACCCAGGCGCCCCTCATCTCAGTCTTAATGCAACAGTAATTCTTGTCTCAAGGAAACCTGCATTTACTTTGAAAAGCTGATCCAGGAAGCTGAATCAGAGCCACTTTCTGATACAAGTAAGGAAAAGTTTGGGCCAGGTCCTGTTCCTGAGGGTGGCGCTGGTGTGTGGAACTGTGCTCCTGGATGCTGACACTGTGGAGCTTTGGGTGTCCTCTGAGGTTCTTTTTGCTGGATTTCCCCCTTTTCTCAGTGCACTCTTCTAGATCTCCTGGAGTCCTCACACCTTAGGCTTTCATGGCCTCTGCCGGCCCTGATCCCTCGTCCCTCAGGACTCAGCTCAAGCACCACCTCCTGCAGGAAACCTGGTACAACGAGCTCAGTTCAACGTATTGACTGTATTGTGTGTCCTTGTTACCATGGCTGCTGAATAACTAAGTCGGTAAAAGAGGCCATATGTGCCACGTAGGTGACCCTTTCAAACCTCACATTCCTCATTTGTGGGAACATGGGCAAGTCATTTATCTCAGAGCCTCGGAGGATAATAGGAGTTGATTTGTGTAAGGTGCCCCATGCATGGCATGCAGTAAGTGAGTACTACAGTAACATTAGCAACTGACTAACACAGAAATGTTTATGGGGCAGAAGAGGATCATATAAAGTTCCTTTGTGACTCTGTCACTTCTTTCTCCATTTATTGTTCCACGCGTATGTTTCCTTTCCTTTGCAATGTTATTCACTCTGCCTGGGATTCTCTTTCTCATGTTCTAGGAACAGGAAAAGTTTCTGTTGGTTATTCCCCCCTCTGGTTTCATGCCGAGATGGATGAATGGAACACCCCTACCACCCTAAGGTATTCCTGGGGAATGCATGCACAGTGAATATGGCAGGCAAACAAATTTTTTTTTTTAAAGAAGGTCCTTTATTTTTTTTTTAAGATTTTTATTTATTTAACAGAGATAGAGAGAGAGCATAAGTAGGCAGAGCGGCAGGCAGAGGGAGAGGGAGAAGCAGGCTCTCCGCCGAGCAGGGAGCCCGATGCGGGGCTCGATTCCAGGACCCTGGGATCATGACCTGAGCCGAAGGCAGCCGCTTAACCGACTGAGCCACCCAGGCGCCCCGCAAACAAATTTTTTATTACTTTTGGCCCCAACTCCAAGCATGGAACCTTAACCCAGAAGTTTTGTCCTGGTTCCTTTCCCTCCCTGTCCTTCCTCTGGTTCTTGCTTCACCCTCTAAGGAGAGGGGTAGCTGGGAGGGGGAGAAAATGTACCTCCTCACCGATGGGAAGCAGCCCAAGCCCCCGTCTTACCTCGAGTGTCTGAGAGAGAAGAAATAGACGGGAGCCGTCCCCAGACTGGGACCTAACTTTAACACCCTGCTTTCATATGCTGAGGCCCCACCCCCGGGACTGGGCTTGGTTCAATATTCTTGAATCTGACCAATCCATGACATCTGTCTTCCTTGGAGGGATAGTGAAGTGGCAACAGCTACAAGCTTCCTCCCTACAGTGACTGCTTACCCTTTGTGAGGAAGCTAAATGCCATTTCTTCCGGTTTTGTTGACTCCACCCAAGACTGCCTTGGCCTTTCCTGCAGTATGCCTTACAGAATCGCTTGAATGCTCTATTTTCATGATCAATTCTCACTGCTGGACTGAGAGCAACTCCAGGGCTGAGGGCTTGTTCTGTTAACATAGGGTATGCTCTGGGGAACGCCTGGGTGGCTCAGTGGGTTAAGCGTCTGCCTTCCGCTCAGGTCATGATCCCAGGGTCCTGGGATTGAGTCCCACATCGGGCTCCTTGTTCAGTGGGGGGGCCTGCTTCTCCCTCTGCCTCTGCCCCTCCCCCTGCTTGTGCTCTCTCTCTCTCTCTCTCTCTCTGACAAATTAATAAAATCTTTAAAACAATTTAAAAACATAGGATATGCTCTGAAATCTTTGTTGGGGAAATTGTATGTAAAATGTTCATACAGGCATATTTTCTAAAGGCATTAATGACATCCGAGCATACTGTATTTGGCAAACGATCATGGGCTTCATCCCATTATCACTGTGAGTGGTCAATCAGACTTGGTCTTGGTCCTCAAGAGCTCACCATCTCTTGGGAGAGCCAGATATTGAATATTTATAAAGGGGTGGGATGCATACAAAACACAGAGAGGGAACTTGGAGAAGGGAACCTGAGCGAGCCAAGGAAGACTTCACATTAGAACTGGATAATACCAGTTATCTAGTGCTGTGTCACAAACCAACCCCAAACGTAATGGCTCGAAACAACCAGCATCAATAATTTTTCAAGATTCTGCGGGTGGCCTGGGGGCCTTTTGTGCTGGGCCCGCCTGGGCTCGCTCCTGTGGCTCTGGTCAGTTAATGGGGTCAGCTGGGGACAGCCGGCTGTGCTCCTTCATCCTGGGCTGCCTCACGGCATGGTGGTCTTGGGGTTCCAAGATGGTGAGGGCAGTGGCTACAAGGCCTCTGAGGCCTGGCCCTCAGTACTTGCATCATATCACTCCCACCACATTCTGTTGGTCAAATCGAGTCATAAGACCAGCCCAGATACAAGGGGATGAAGAGGCGCTCCAAAAATTGATGGCCATATTTAACCTGCCACAGGGGCTTTGCGATGGTAAGGAGTTTTGCCCGTAGCCAAGGAGAGGGCACTCCTGGGCAGAGCTACAGAGGTGAGAATAAACAGGACATGTCTGGGCACATTTCAGGCTTAATGTGGTTGGAGGGGTAAATATTGGGAGTTGAAGATACACAGAAGTACCCTGGGAAGGGCTTTGAATGCCATACCTGGAGTTTTAACTTAGTCCTTTGAAAGTCTTTGATAAGTCTCTGTTTTCAGGAGTTCATTATAGCAGCCCAAATGGGGGTACAGTGTCTGGAGAGGGCGAGACTGAAGGCAGGGACCCCCGAGGCAGATGGTGAGCGGGGTATGGGCTTGGGAGCGAGGTATGGCCCAGCCTAAACTGGGCAGGGGCTGTCAGAACGGCAGGATGGTGTCCTTGGAGATTGGTGCTTACTGGATATTCTATGAGAGCATTCACGTCTCAGGCTCCTTGTCCTTCTTGCTAATTTAGAGGGTCCTGGGTCCGTGGGGAGTAACTGGATGAAAGAAGAGTGTGGAATGAGGATGAATGGGGAGTGGCGGTAGGAAGGAGGAAAAAGGGGGAGGGGGCTTGAGTACAGGTTCCAGCGGGGATGGTAAGAGATAGCTGGAGGATTAGGGAAGCCGACTTCCTGGAAACTGGCTGGTGAAGGCTGAGAAAGGATGGGAGCACCAATTAAGTCTGGGGCGCAGGAGGGCAAGAGTACAGCCCCAGGGAGGGACCTGGCTGGATTTTTTTCCCAGACTGAGAACTCCTGTCACACTCATGGCTTCGAGTCCAAGGCCTGGCACAGAGCTGACCACCATCCAGGTGGGTGGAATGACAATGTTGTTAACTCATTTTCTTGAAGTCCCCTAAAAGCCCATCTTTTCTCCTTAGCAGAAATGTCTTTTGGGAAGTTTAGGGATGAATTGAAGTGGTGAGAGAGTTAGATGGGGTAAGTTTATTGGAGTAAAATGAATAGACTTTAGGACAGGCAACTATGGCCTCTCTAGGAAGGTTCTGGACTGGCCAGGGGGAACCTAGTGAGATGTATGTAGTGGATATGTGTGGCAGGGTGACTTCAAAATGTGTGTACTGTTCAGAGGTGGAGTTATAACAATCTTAATTCCTTTCCACCCCGCCTCTTTACAGTGGGGTAGATGTTTTAACCTATTGTAAAAAGTCTCAGTCCAGTGCTTGTTCAGCCACACCCTAGTCTGAAAAACGAGTGGGATAAGGCAGAGGAACCTGTCCCCATCTCCAAGACAAACAGGTTCTGTGAGCACAAGGTAGCATGTGACGACCAGGAAGGGGAAGAAAGTTGGATGGCCCCTTGTTTCAGGTCAAACTGGTCAATGGGAGAGGGACCTGGAAGAGAGGTTGACTCCTCAGGGTTGTCTACAAGTTTTGAGATACCCCTGGCAGGCCCAGGCCAGACATTCTTACAGGAAGGATCCTATTCAGAAAGCCCATTATAATAGATTCATGCTACACACCATGGTGCTAACCCTTCAGACAATCCCACATTTTACAGATCCAGAATCCAACATTTAAAGTTAAGTGACTTGGCTACAGACACCTCTTCAGGGGGGCCCAAGATCCTAAGCCAGGTCTTTAGACCAAGGGCATGAGGTATGTAACTACCCTGTCAAGACAATGCTAACGGGCTCCCCTGGGAGCCTGCTGCCTCAGGGCAGTGTTGGGTCCGGGCTACTGCCTTCCCCCCCACATACCACGTGGAGCACAGAGCTAGCCATACACAAACCCCAAGGAACTAGAACACGGGCTCTCACCCTCAGATTCCTTTCCAAGTGAGTGGTGATTCTCTTTGTTTGGAGGTGCCCCTGCCCTTCATAATTCCTCTACCTAACCCTTAAATGGTTTGGTTTATGGGACTTAGCCTGAGACCTTCTTCTTTCCTTCCATGATCTCCTCTACTCCCATGGCTTCAAATATCATGTATGTTTTTCTCATAGTTCTGTCTTCAACCCAGATTGCTCAGCTGAGCTCCAGATCCACAGTATTTTACTACCTTTTAGCTCTCCACCAGGATTCTCTCTCTCACGGTCTTCACGTTCAATGACTCCCAAACTTACTTGCGAACTCACCCCCAATCTGCTGCTTCCCATATAACTCAGATGTATTTGATCTTCTATCTGGTATCCCTGCACCCACACTGACTCCCTTTCGTCCATTTTCCACACTTTCAGGAGCTTTCCAAATTCAGGTTCTTGACGTGGCTTTGAAAGCCCTGTGTGACTTGATCCCTGCTCATCTCCCCAGACACCCACTTCTTGCTCTCTCTGCTGTAACCAGCCTCTCTTTTCCTAACTCCTCTCACCCTTCAGTTAACATAACATTCCTCTTTAGAGACGTGTCCCCTTCTCCAGTTTCTTCGTGCGCACTCCCAAAGCTCTCTGTTCCCTCCCTCCATGACACGCACCCCAAATGTGACCGGTAGTTACTTGGTGGGCACTAGAGTGTAAGTGCCTGGGGCAGGATGTCTTGTTCTCCATCTGCTCCTACACCTAACATGGACATAGCATTCCGAAGTTTGCTGAGTGGACGGCACGGTGCCATAGGGTTCCCACATAGCAAGGCTCGAGAAACGAATCCTCTTTCTCTTTTTATGCTTTCTCCACATTTGAGAATCAGCCCTATTCTAGGGCTAGGCTGGCTTACCAAGTGAGACAGGTCCTTTCTCTAGCACCTAGGTAGACCTGTATTCCAGTCCAGGGCTAAAGCAAGAAAAACAAAAAAAAGCTGGGGGGCGGTGGGAGGAAAACCCCACCCCTGGCACGCTAGAGCTAAGCCCCATCAGCTCAAGGGAAATTCACTCAAATGGTGAATGCCTATGTTTGGAGGGTGTGTGTGGCAGGGTAGCTTTAGAAAGGCATGAACTACTCTGAGGTGGAATTAAAGCAATCCCAACCCCTTTTCAGTACTTACTTTTACAAAGCAGAGTTCAAATCACTTTGAAAATTCGCTTGTATTCCTTGGCAGCCTGTTGATTCAGGCAAGGCTGTCCCTTCCTGACATAGAAAGGAGAAACTAGTTGACTTATCTACCATATGGTCAGCAGTGATTCAGACTACCCGTTCCAGAGGATTTGGCTAGGAAAACTAATATTTGAAAAGCCATGGTTTGGATTACTGAGTGAAGAGTGGGAAATTCTAGTTATGTTTTACATCTTGCAGATGGTGCTTTGGCCATTGCGAAAGACAGAAACCACAGACATACAACGGCTCGCGCAGTATGTTTCTTCTGTTTTGCAGCTGTAGGGTTAACGTGTTAACTCCGGAGCTCCTAAAGCTGAGAATGCTGTATATTTATAGATCATAAATGTTTAACTAGCTTTTGCTTTGCAAATTACCTAGGCTTGGAGTAGAAAAGTACTGCAGTATAGTTCAAAACTCTAATGATAAAGATCCTTCCTGTGAGCAGGATTGCTGCTGGCCTTATACAGACCCTTTCACCTAGAAGCTGAAAAAAGGTGTCCCAAGATGCAACCTTACCAACGCACATACCTTGACAACCTGAGCACAGGTTAGATTTCGGCCTCCACTAACTCCCCTCCCTCAAGTGGGTGCCTTGAGCAGTGCACAGACTGTACAACTAAACATGGTGGCCCTACCTTTATATAAATGTATATATTAATATAAACCAGGGTAAAACAGTACCAGAAGTCTTATTACAAAACGGTTATCATTTTTAATATTTTCACCTAGAGAAGTAATGAAATATAGCCTAGGTTATAGCAGATT